AGAAAAAAAAAAAGAACGGGTGGGGGGAGGGGGGAAGCAGTGAGGCTGGAGGGTTTCGGGGGCCCATCCTGCACCCCCCCTTTGTGGGGGGCCCAGGTGTGAGTCAGGGGGCAAAGGTCGGCGCTGGCCGTGTTTGCACTCCCGGCACGGAAGTGGCACCGTCCCCGCGTGTCCCCGTGTCCCGCCCGGCGCTGCCTCCCGGCTGGAGCAGGTAGGGAGGGCAGGGATGGAGCCCCCGGCCCGCAGGATGGGCACAGGGGGTCCCCCCACAGGGTGGGAACCCGGCAGGGACTCCCAGTCCATCCCTTTGGGGACATGGGGTCCCCTGGGCCTGGTATGGCCGGTGTCCTGCTGTCCATGGGGACATGGGGACACGACATGGGGACACACAGGCCCTATTGCTGCAGCAGGGGTGGCTCGAGGGTCCCCATGGTCCAACTGGGATCAGATTTGGGGGATCCCCATGGAAAGGGGGCTCTGGAGGTCCACATGACCCCATAGGAATCAGAACTGGGGGGGTGTCTCCTTAGGGACCAGGCTCTAGGGGCCCCCATGGCCCTGTAGGGACAGGGCTCTGGGGGTCCCTGTGGCCCCATCGGGACAGGAACTCTGGGCTCCCTACAGGGATCAGTCTCTGGGGGTCTCCATGTCCCCATAGGGACAGGGCTGTGGGTGGGGGTCCCCAGAAGAACATACTCTGTGGCTCCCCACACCCCACTAGGGCCCAGGCCTTGCTCTCCTGACTCCAGCCCCTGTCCCCGTGTCCCCATGGCCATCGTGATGGCATGAGGGCAGCACCCCAAATCCTGGTGCACCCCACACCCGGTGTCACCACATCCCTCGAGTGACACTGCCTCTAGGAAAACCCTGGGGACAGGGATCCATCTGGGGGTGACCTCAGGTCCTGGCCGGGTGTTTTGGGGTGTGGGGATGGAGAGGAGAAATCTGTGGGGTTCCAACACCTGTGGGGTCCCCCTGTCACTGCAGCCCCAGCGTGCTGTGATGGCACCGGACGCCTGAGCCCCTCGAGCGGGGACCAGCCATGGAGACCGTTGTCATTGTGGCCATCGGGGTGCTGGCCACCATCTTCCTGGCGTCCTTCGTGGCGCTGGTGGTGGTGTGCAGGCAGCGCTACTGTCACCCCAAGGACCTGCGCCACCACTACGACACCAAGTGAGTGACCCCATGTGGGTGGCAGCGTCCCTGTCCCCAGCAGGGAGGGACCGCAACCCCCATGAGCAGGGGACAGTGCTGGGGAATTGTCCAGCATCATCAAGGAGATGATGGGGGGGATGTGGCCATAGTCATTGGGGGGACAAAGATGGGGACATATCTGCCATCATCAAAGGGATGAAGGTGGGGACGTGTCCAACACCATCCAGGGAACAAAGATGGGAACAAGTCCACTGTGATCGGGGGATGATGCAGGGGACATGTCCAGCATCATCAGAGGGAAGAAGTTTGGGACACATCCACATCACCAGGGAGACAAAAATGGGGACACGTCCCCCAGCATCAGGGCCATGGGGCTGTGGGGCAGCCTAAGGAGGTGGCCCTTGGTGGGATGTCCCCTGTGCCTCTGACAGACCCATCGTGGACCTGATGGGGACCACAGAGACGCCATCAGAGCCCTCGGAGCTGGAGCTGGACGATGTGGTCATCACCAACCCCCACATCGAGGCCATCCTGGAGAACGAGGACTGGGTCGAGGACGCTTCGTGAGTGTCCCTGTGTCCCCCCACCGCTGGGGACCCCTCTGCAGTTCCAGTCCCCCATCATGGGATGCAGGGGACAGATTTGGAGGTCACCAAGCCACAGCGATGGTCCTCAAGATTGTCTTGGGGTGGGAATATCCCCACAGGTCTGGGGGACATGGGATGGGGGCTGGCAGGAGAGGGGGGACACACAGGGGACAAGGACAGAGCAGGGGGACACAGGTGGATTCACACATTCCTCCCTCTCCACAGGGGTCTGGTGTCCCACTGCATTGCCATCCTGAAGGTGAGTCAGGGCATGGCACTGGTGACACTGGTGACACTGGTGGCAGTGGTATCAATGGTGACATTGTTGGTACTCGTGGCACTGGTGCTGATGGTAGGTGGCACTTGTGGCACTGGTAGTGATGGTGGCACTGAGTGCCCACCACTGTCCCCCAGATCTGTCACACACTGACGGAGAAGTTGGTGGCCATGACCATGGGCTCGGGCGCACGCGTGAAATCCCCGGCCAGCCTGGGGGACATCATCGTGGTGGCCAAGCGCATCAGCCCCAGGTGACAGGGAGCTCTTGGGTGGAGTCCTGTGGATTTGGGGTGTCCCCAGGAATTGGGGGGGGGGGAAATTCCAGGGCTCTGGAGGGTCCCCAGAGATTTGGGACAGGGTAAGTCTGGAGGGGTCATGGGGGCTCTGGGAATGTCCCAGGGCTCTGAGGAGGGTCCTGAGGCACTGGGGGAGGACCCTGGGGATTCTGGAGGGAAGCCTGGGGACTTTAGGGGTGTTTGGGGACTCTGGGAGGTGTCCCACAGCCCTGGGGTAATTTTGTGACTCTGGGAGGAGTCCTGGGGCTCAGGGGGTTCCTGGAATTCTGGGGGTGTTCCTGGGGCTCAAGGGGGGTCCCAGGGCTCCAAGAGGCCTCTTGAGGCCTGGGCTGGGTGTGCTGGAGGTGTCACCACAGTGTCCCTGGTGTTAACACTGTCCCCACCGCAGGGTGGACGATGTGGTGAGATCCATGTACCCCCCGCTGGACCCCAAACTGCTGGACGCGAGGTGACAGTGGCAGGAGGGACAGGGACAATCCTGGGTGGGGGAATACCTGTGGGTGGGGACACCCCCCCCATGCCATACCACACCCCTGGGGACATCCCCAGGTCACCCAGCAGGACAGGGAGGCCCCTCGGTGTGAGCAGATCACAGAATATCCCAGAATATCCAAGGATGGGAGGGACCCCAAAGATCTCCCAGTCCCACACACAGCCCTGCCCAGACACCCAACAACCCCAGCCTGTTCATCCCTGGAGCGCTGTCCAAGCTCTCCTGGAGCTCTGGCAGCCTCAGGGCCGGGACCATTCCCTGGGGAGCCTGGGCAGTGCCAGCACCTCTGGGGGAAGAGCCTTTCCCTGATACCCAACCAAACCCCTCTGTGACAACCTCAGGCCATTCCCTGGGTCCCATCCAGGTCAGACAAACCAGGGCCCACGCTGCTTCTGTGGAAGCCACGATGGTGCAGGGAGGTGACGGGGTGGTGGCAGGGTGCTGACAGCCCCGTGTCCCCGCAGGGCCGCGGCGCTGCTGCTGTCGGTCAGTCACCTGGTGCTGGTGACCCGCAGCGCCTGTCGCCAGCCGGCCGCCCGCCACTGGGTCGAGCGGTCACTGGCGGCCGCCGAGGAGCACATGGCCGTGCTGCGCCAGGCTGCCATGGCCACCGAGCCCGAGCGGCCCCCGGGCCCCGCCGAGCCGCCCCGCCAGGAGCAGTCGGCCATCTGAACACAATAAAGGCCCCGTGTGCCCCCCAGCCCCGGCACGGGCACCTCTGGGATGGGCTGGTGATGTGGTGTCTGGATGGAGAGGAGATGGGGAGGGGAATGGGGGTGTTCAAGGGGACTTTGGGGCTCTAGGGAAGGATCGGGGGGTTTGGGAGGGAGTGTGGATGGGGTTTGAGGGATTTAGAGGGGGTTTCAGGGTGTTGGGGGTTTGGAGGAGCGGGGGGGTCCAGGGAGGGGTTGAGGGACTTGGAAAGGAGCGTGGAGAAAGGTTGGAAAGGGGGCTTTAAAGGATTTTGAAGGGTTTGGAAGGCTGGAGGTGGTTTGGGAGGTTTAGAGGGAATTTTGGGTGGTTACAGGGGGATTTGGAGGGGTTGGGGGTCTAGGGAGAGGCTGGAGGGTTGAGAAGGGAGTGTGGAAGGAGGTTGGTATGGGCTAAAAGGGATTTGGAAGGGTTGGGAAGGTCAGAGGTGGTTTGGTGGGTTTGCAGGGGATTTGGGGGGTTCAAAGGGGAGGTTTGGAGTTCAGGGAGGATTTGGAGGGAGTTGAAGTTGAGGGGGTTTAAAGGGAGGTTTAGGGGGTGTTGGAGTGGTTGGGAGAGGTTTTGGGGTGCATTTACTGGGACTGGGGAGGTTGGGGGGTGATTTGGGGGAGTTGAGGGAGTTGGTGTAGGAGGGGAAGTTGGGAGTTTAGGGAATGTTTGGGGCTGGTTAGGAGAGGGTTTTGGGAAGGTGGAGGGGTTTGGAGGGGCACTGGCACTGGACGGGATTTAGGAGAGTTTGGGAGGGTGGGAAAGATTTGGAGAGGGAGGTTGGAAGTTTTAGGAAGGGTTGGAGAGGTTGAAGTGGTCTTTGGGGCATAGGGGGTTGGAGGGGATTTGGAGAGGATTTAGGGGCACTTGTGGGCATTGGAAGGGAGGATGGGGGAGTTGGAGTGGGCAAAGACTGGAGTTTTGGGAGGATCGGGGAGACTGGGGAGGACTGGAGGGGGCTGTGAGAGCTGATGGAAGTTTGAGGGGACTGGGGAGGATTTGGGGGGAGTGGAGTAGTCTGGGGGTGCTGCCTGCCCTGGGAGCAAGGTCTGGAGGGCTCAGCAGCACCGAGGGGCGAAACCCTGTGCCCCGGGCAGGGGGGTCTGTGCCCTGGGACGGGGCCAGGGCCGCACAGGGGACTCAAGGCTGTAGGCAGAGGGGTCTGTGCCCCGGGCAGGGGGGTCTGAGGGGTCCCCGTGCCCCGGTCAATGCCCCGGTCACTCCGGGCCGGGGGTCCGGCCGAGCCCCCCCCCCGATTTCATCGCCCGGGGAGGGGGGGCTGCTATCACGTGATCTTCCGTCACGTGACGGGGGTGCGGCGGTCGCTGTGCCCGCCCTCTCAGCCCGGGCTGGCCAATGGGAGCGCGGCAGGCGCGGGCGGTGGCCAATGAGCGGCGGGGGCGTGGCTTGCGGCCAGAGGGAGGGGGGGGCTTGCGGCAGGGACCGGGCAGGGACCGGGAGAGGGAACTGGGAGCGCTGGTGGGTACTGGGGTCACCGGGGGGCACCGGGATCACGGGGTGACTCGGAGGGACCGGGAGACACCGGGGAACCCGGACGAGCTGGGAGCCACTGGGAGGTACTGGGAGCCCCTGGGAGCTGCTAGGAGGAACTGGGAGGTGCTGGGAACATTGGGAGGTGCTGGGAGGAACTGGGAGTCACGGAGTCACTGGGAGGTACTGGAGGTAGCTGGGAGTCATACGGACGACTGGGAAGTGCTGGGAGGAACTGGGAGTCACGGGGGTCGCTGGGAGACCGTGGGAGACACTGGGAGTCCCCGGAGGTCATGGGGGAGCACTGGGACGTACTGGGAGTCCCTCCTGGGAGGCGTGCTGCGAGCACTGGGAGCTCTGGGAGCGCTGGGAGCACTGGGAGCACTGGGAGCACTGGGTCTGGTGCTGGGGGATGTCGAGGAGTAGAGCCCAGCCCTGCCCTGGGGGGTCGCAGTGACACCAGGGTCCCCCCGAGCTGTCCTGGCAGCGATGGGAGCAGAGCCCCCCCGGGCGGGGGAGGAGGTGTCAGCAGCGGGGAAAGGGAAGTGAAAGTGATTGTGGAAGTGGGATTGGGGGGGGGCCCGTCCGGCGCCGCAGGGAGATGGTATCGGGGCGCGGTTGGGGTACCACACACCGCAGTGCCCCCCCCGCTCTCTGTGGGGTACCCCCAGCACCCTGAGGTGCACCCCGGGGTGGGGGGGCTGGGTAAAGTGGGGAGCTGGGGCTTTCCCAACACATGGCTGAAAGAAGAAGTGAGATTTGGGGAGCAGAGCTGCCCGCCCACTCAGTGAGAAGGGAAACTGAGGCCGGGGGGTTCGGGGGGGTCCCACAGGTGCTCCCAGAACCATGAGGACCCTCGTGCTGCTGTGGGTGGCCCTGGCCAGCGTGAGGGGCCAGCTGCCCTGTCCCCATGGGGGACCCTGCCCCGTGACCTCGGTGAGTGCACAGGGTTTGGGGGGGTCTGGGGGGGTCGCAGCAAGGGATGATGACCCCCCCCACCCCGTGCCCCCCCAGGCCCTGCCTGTCCACAGTGCAATGGGGTGTCAGGACAGCTCATCCTGCCCCGCCAGCTGCCAGCTGCCAGAGGTGAGCCCCTTCCCCTGTGCCTCAGTTTCCTCCTCTCCCTGGCATTTGGGGGGCACTCCCTGACCCCCCTGCCCTCCCACCCTTTTCTCTCTCCCCAGAGTGTCCCCTGCGCCGGGGGCCACCGCTGCTGTCCCCGAGGGTCCCACTGCAGTGCTGATGGGGAGTCCTGTGTCACAGACCTGGGTATGGGGGCACGGGTGGGGGGTGTTAGGGGTTGGCCTCAAGAGGACAGGACGGACACAGGGGTGCCTCACCTGTCTCTGCAGCCCCCCGTGCTGTCCCCTGTCCTGATGGCCAGTCCGAGTGTCCCGATGATGCCACATGCTGTGTGACAAGCAGCGGCGCCTGGGGGTGCTGCCCCATGCCCCAGGTACAGGCTGTGGGGACACGGGGACACTGAGGGGGGACCTGGCATGGCCATCACTGTGACAAGCATGGCTGGCACCCACAGGCCTCGTGCTGTGCTGACAAGGTGCACTGCTGTCCCCATGCCACCGTCTGTGACCTGACCCACGGGCGCTGTGTGTCCCCCAGCGGTGACACTGACGTCCCCCTGAGCACAGCCTTCCCCTCCTGGAAGCGCCAGCCCCCCGCCCCAGGTAAGGGGTGTCCCCTTGGGGTGCCCTCGCTGTGCCCTCGCAGGGGACACGGTGACACTGTGTGTGTCCCCAGTCGCGCTGCGCCAGGTGCTGTGTCCTGATGGCCGCTCGGCGTGTCCCGACGGGACGAGCTGCTGCCAGCTGTCCCCAACGCAGTATGGCTGCTGTCCCCTGCAGAACGTGAGTGCTGCCACAGCCGTGGGCACCCCGGGACAGGCAGCTGTGCCAAACCTGTGCCCAGCACCCCAAACCAGCCACCCCCCACTGAACACCCCAAACCAGCCACCCCTCACTGAACACCCCAAACCCAGCACTCCACACCCCCAACACACACCACTCACCCTGTACCAGTCCATTCAGGCACCCTGTTCTGGACATCCCAATTCCAAGCACCTCACAGTGGTACCAGGCACCCTGTCCCAATGATCCCACACCAGACACGCCTTGCTGGGCATCCTGTGGTGGACACTGGGCCCTGGACACCTCACCCTGTGCCATGTCCCCCATACCAGGCACCCTATGCCCTGCCCTCCATGCTGTGCACGCCCTGTCTTTGTCCCCAGGGCCCCTGTCACCTCATATCTCTCCCCCCAGGCCATGTCCTGCAGTGACAGGGCACCTCCACACCATGCCCCCTATGTTTGCACCCCCTGTCCCCATCCCCAGGGTCCTTGTCATCCCATATCTCCCCTCAGGCCGTGTGCTGCGGTGATGGGCAGCACTGCTGTCCCCAGGGCACCACCTGCGACCTGATCCACTCCACCTGCACCTCCCTGGGGGGCTCTGCACCCCTGGCAGCACTGCCCACAGGTAAGACCCCCCCAGGGACCAACCCCCTCTCCAGTCCCGGGGAGGGGACACCAGCCCTGACTGTCCCCTGTCCCCAGCTCGTGACGTCAAGTGTGATGAGGAGACGAGCTGTCCCGATGGGAACACGTGCTGCCGGCTCAGCTCAGGGGCCTGGGGGTGCTGCCCCCTCGAGCAGGTACGGGGGGTCCCCTGTGTCCCCCAGGATGAGCAGATGTCCCCTGGCCCCCTGGGTGGGATGAGGGGACACAGCTGTGTCTTGTTCCACTGAGAAGGACAAGGGTGGGGGTTACAAGGTCCCCTGTCCTCCAGGAGGGCTCCCATTCCCTGATGGCACATGGGGATGGGGGTGACACTGGGTCACCTTGACATCCCCCACTCGGACTCCCTGTACTAACTGGGACCAGTTTGGGGCTCCAGCGGTGCCCCAAAGGGACAGAGGTGGTGAAGGGACATGAAGCCACCAGGATGCTCTGGGACCTTCCCAAGTCCCACTGAAGGGGGAGGTCAAGAGTGATGGGGCCCCAAATCCCCCCTTCCTCACTGCTGGGGCTGGGGTGGGGAATGGGGATGGTGGAATGGGCAGGAGGGGACACATCTGTCCCCCCTCCTGTGGAGCTGGCAGTCTCTGGGGTCCCCCTGTGCTCAGCCCCCCCTCTTTGCCCTCCAGGCCGTCTGCTGCCCCGACCACGTGCACTGCTGCCCCCAGGGCTACACCTGCGACCCCGAGGGGGGCAGCTGCCTGCAGGGGGGGGGCACCCGCCGGCCCTGGGTGCGCAAGACCCCGGCGCTGCCCCGGGAGGGACAGGTGACCTCGGGGGATGTCAAATGTGATGAAGAGACGAGCTGTCCTGATGGGAGCACGTGCTGCAGGCTGAGCCTGGGCACCTGGGGGTGCTGCCCCCTCGAGCAGGTGTGGGGTCTCTGCCCATGGCCATGGGGGTCCATGGCTGTGTGGGGTGGGGGACCTGGGGGTGCACCCAGGGGAGTGGGGGATCCTGGCATGAGCAGATTCCAGAGGGTCCTGGGGTGTCCTTGGAGGGGGGGACGTGGCTCAATGGACCCCGAGTGGAGCACCTGCCTGGGGGACATGGGAATGTTCAGCAGGGCAGTCACTACCTGTCCCCCTCAACAGCCCCATGGACTGGGGGTGTCCTGTGCCCTGAGGGGACAAAGGCCAATGTCCCCTGTCCCCTGGGCAGGGTGAGGGCAGATGTCCCTTGTCCTCCAGGAAGGATAGGGCAAGCTCCAAACCCCTGATGTCCCCATGGCCCCACAGGGCCCCTTTGGTGCCCTCCAACCCCAGTCAGACCCCTCTGCAAACTGGGACCAGTTTGGGTCTCCAGTGGCAGGTGGTGCCGGGGTCACACAAGGCCACAGGGACATGAGGATTCCCAGGGACATTCTTGCATCCCACAGGGGGGCAGAAGCATCGTGAGAGGGTTCCCATGTCTGCCCCCTTCAAAGGGGATGGAGCCAGGCTGGGTCTAGGGGGGACATGGAACAGGGGAGGGCAGGAACAGGCAGGAGGGGACTTGTCCACTGGAGGTCCCCAGCTGTGTTGCTGGGGTCCCCCTGTGCTCAGCCCCCCCTCTTTGCCCTCCAGGCCGTCTGCTGCCCCGACCACGTGCACTGCTGCCCCCAGGGCTACACCTGCGACCCCGAGGGGGGCAGCTGCCTGCAGGGGGGGGGCACCCGCCGGCCCTGGGTGCGCAAGACCCCGGCCCTGCC